GCTAATGTGTTTGCAATGAGCTTAGAGGAGGATACAGAGGAAAGGAAAACAGAGGGCTTTTAAATAACAAGATCAGCTTGGGGGAGGACTGATTTATCTAATCCTCGCTTTCTGTATCTGGGTCACTTTAAATAATCTGATGATTAAAAGGTAGCTCCTCCTTTTGTGAGGGCCCCTCGATGAAGCAGCGGGCAAACCTTAGCAACCAACGGGGAGCACATTCTGTTCTCAACTCCACTGCAGAAATTTTAAAATTGAAGGGAATAATTTCTTTCTTAGGTGACTCCAGGATACGATAGTTCCCTTGCAGTTTGGAGCAAATTCTATTTCTTGGTTTTGTCTTTTACTTTTCAGCTCTCCGTACCTCGACCACTTGACATTTGCCGAGCCACCTCATCCTACGAGGTGCAACTCTTCACATGAGGCTAACTTTTTTTTTTTTTTTGACCTTGTTTGGGATGGAGGAAGGTCAGGACGGATCCATCCCGTTAAGGTACACGCGGTCGGATCAGCTCAGCATCATTGCTACAGGTGGACTCGGTTATTCAGATTATTGCAGTCAGGGTATCGTCACATTTGGCAGGGTAATATTCCAGTTATCGGGCATCCCTGATGCCTACACACAAGTCAGACGATCCAACCTGACTTTAAGAGAAAGCAATAAAGACAAAGGGTAATTTATCGAAGGGAAGGGGTAGACTGACTAAATCTGGTGATGTTTCTTCCGCCTGGGAAAAAAGATCAAGAATTGGCATGAGAATTCCTCATACGTCACAAAAGTAGACACTCGTTGCGAGGAAGATTACTAAAGAGAATTACTGCTCTGATGCACAAGCAACAACTAAGGATCGGTTTGGGGTAAAGGAGTGATCCAGGTGTGAAAGGAGGATACCCCTGGGCTCAGTGAAAGTGTGCAATGGGGGTGTGTGTGGGTGTGTGAGAGCGGTAAGGGGGCAACGCCGCTCCCACGGTTCTGCAGAATGAACCATTTCGACGCCCCCCCCCCCGAGGACTTTTTCTGAGTTCCCCACTGAAATTCACAAGTACCTGGAGGATCACCCAGCACGATGGAATACGTATCGCAAAAGATTACATCGTTCTACGGAATGACCTCGTTATGCTCTGCAAGGAAATGTAATTAAAGCTCGAAGGAATAGCCTGGTCCAAGCCCAGTAGATCTGTCATCCACTTTACATTACAGTTTGTACCATCCAGTCCCCAGACAAAATTTTGTATTTTCAAAGCGTGCAGCTTGGTCAGATCTATACGTGACCAAAAATCACGCTCAAATCAAGAAGAGACACTGCAGAAATTGGTATTTTTTTACTTGACAACGCATATCTAGATCTGCTCGCTGAACTATGACCAGAGTTAACCAAGTGAAGGTCTCATAGATGCTCGTTATATAAACATACTTTCTCCAGCAACAACTTGTAGCAAAAGGCGATCCTAATTAAGCCAAACGTGTCAAATTCTAGGTGGAGGTGTGCCAAAAAAGGACCAGCAACTTCTAGATCTCTGGCCATTTCTGGGTATGCCCTCATTTCAGCGTTTGCCTCAAACACGCTGGAGGAAGATGTCAGCTCCCCCATGACACGCATGCAGGTGAAAGTGGAGTCATTCAATTAGCTATCACTGTGCAATTAGGCGTTGTATCAAAATAGAAATTACTTTTCTAAAAATAGCGGTGATGATGTATTGGCTCAAAAGGAATTGACTTTTAAAAAGAGGAAGATGAACAAAATAACAGCTCTGAAGGCCGATGTGAAACCGAAGGGCAAAGCAAAGCAATCTAATAGAAAAACAAAATCCATAAAATCAAAATCCTGAATGCGTAACAGTCTCAGATAGCACAGATGGGGTTCGTAATCTCGGCGGTGACAATCTTTTTAATAGCGTTTTCTGAGATAATTCTGTTATTTCGCTGTTGCGAGGAAATCAGCGTGGTGTTTCACATGTCGCGGGTGGTAAGTGTTGATAAAGGCCAGTGCTTTTGTGCAATTTAATGGAGAAGAGGAAAGGAAAAACAACAAATTGAACAAGCCGAAGTTGAGGATACTCTTTTATCTATCGGTTTATCATCAGTGAGGCAATTCTCTCTCTACGGCAAATTGTCGTCACTGGAAACGAGAATGACCTTGACAGATCCCGAATTCTTTAAAGAGGAAATTATGGAGCAACCTGAGTAACTTCACCGGCATTAAATCACTACCCACAAATGGCATTTAGTAGGGGCCTAAAAAAAATAAAGTGTGAAATAACAGAGGCACCAAGGAGAGAATGTAATGTACCCTCGATACCAACTACTGTTCTCCTAAAAGATTTAAAAGTGACAATATCGCATCTATTTTAAAAATGGAATTGAGAGAAAACCTAGGAAAGAGAAACTGAGCATTTTGGTCATAATTTCTCACTTTTTAATTCAATTTTACCTTTTATTTGCATTTTTGTTCATTTCTGACTTTCTCAATTAAGCTCTTGCATGATTATCTTTCTCTCCACCTTTTCATCAATGACATACTTCCTGACAAAAAAACTTAGTACTTGAGTATTCAAGCATATTCTGTTCCACCATTTTCTTTTCCCTTTTCTACATAACTTTGTATTTCCTTTTTTGACCAGCTGTAGTTAGGTACCTTGAATCTTTCTTGATCTTTTTTCATGAATCGTGTGTTTATTAATTTTGACATTTCTGTTTTTCTTCTCTTTTTTCTTTGCTAACTTACTTGTTTTCTATGACATACGTGATTCTTGAGCACGGGAATGCAATCTTGAGTAGAAAGGCAGCGTGCATTATCCTTATTCCATTCATGGGGCATAAAGAAATTACTTTTCTATTTAATCTTCCAAGGGAAGCCTCCGGTAAATCAGAATTAGAACCAAACTCTTAGGAGTCTGCTTGGACCCAGGAAACCATATGACAGAGTGTTCCCTACAAAGGGACACCTTCTGCTAGAAATTGATACCTGTGAAAACAATTTCCAATTCTGGTAGGATTTTTTTTTTTTTTTAAATTTAGAAAACATAATTTATTTTTCCAGCCTTTATGAAGACTTTTTGAGGGATAATGCTTCATGAAAGTATTATTTTTTACAATTATTTCTCTTACCATGCTCAAAATCTTAACGTTAAAGGTATTACTTTATCTTCTTATACACATGAAAAGGCTGATAAAGGTATGAAGAAATCATCCAGTTGGGTCATTATGAAAGGAGTTTGCTAAATTTTTGGGCAATGGAATTACAACATTTCTTCTCTTTCATCGACGTAGAGCATGGGGAGTAATTGACCATCAGTTGTCCTGAGCGAGCTCTTTAGCAGTCGCTTTGGGGCAAATAACATAATAAAGAAAGTATTTTAAAAATCTTGGAGTCGGGCAGCTTAAAGATCTTTTCAATTTCTCTCCCTTGTCTTAAAATGTAATGAAAGTACTGACAAACCTAACCATTTTATAAACCTCTTTGTTCATCTCCTGCTCTCTACTTACTTTACGCTGTCCATCATAAATTTGTAACATCAAAGCACACAAAAATCCCCCAGGTCCCAGTTTCCAAAGTCTGGGCAAGCAAGATGTGGAGCTAGCCAGGCTTAGGATGGACTCAGACTAATCAAAACCTTTTACAAACTCATCCGTGTTCCTAACGATCAGGAAACGCGCTACAGAAGAGGATGGAGAAAAGCATCTCACGCCGACCCAGACACGCTTCCTGAAATTCTTCAGCCAAGGTAGTTCCTAGCTGCACTGTTAAATCCCATCATTCTCTTCTTGTTCTGCTCACACGCCCCAGCATGATCAAGCTAAGGGCCATTATCTTGCCTATAGACATTAAGTGCTAGGAAAATTTAATTTGAAATTAATCTACCCCTGAAGCGTGACTTGTTTTTTTTCTGATCGCCTCAGCTTACACCGTTACTGCAAAAATGGTGTTTGCGGTCACCGAATGACGCACTAGGACTCAATCTGAACGGTTAGTTGGCTCGATGATTTACTCTGAGAATGTCACAAGCTGACTAGCTGCTTCGGAAAGATGCAGTTTCTTTATCATATACGGTCTGCATCTATACCATCTGTTCAGTTCTTCATAGCTACAGACAGCTGCCATAGTTAAGGTAGCATTTACAAACATCAAATTATTTATGTGATAAATCACTCCTAAACAGAAGAAATAATAGGTATGTCAAATATGTGCTAGGATAACTCGGTCAATTAACCTACGGCGCTAATAGCGCATCTGTTCGATAGCCAGGAAAAAACCATCATCTAAAGAGTTGGCAGGACGTGGTTCACTGCGAACCCAGCACGCGTCGTCCGCAGCTCTGAAATCACAGCGGGCGGGCTGCTGCCGCTACAGCCTCCGCCAAACCGGGGAGGGAGGAACCGGCCGTCGGTCAGTCTCTGCACCATCACCACGTCCTCTGGTGCGTTTTGGAAGAGCACATAAACCTACGTGTCAGTGGAAATAACCGGGCTGTTTTCACAGTTGGTTTGCATGACAGGACGAGGTGAATTTCCCCCGATTCAAACGCACGCTCCAAACTTTTGATTTAAATTCTTTCTGATTACATAAAGGATGAGTTCAGAAGCCTGGAGTAAGTTATCTGCAAATTTTTAGCCAACAAATAACCATGAAAAGCAACTGCATAAATCAAGTCTTTGAGAAATTACCTTCTTTGTCACTACTCACCAAATTCAACTCAGAAATACCATGTCATATTTCTACACTTTGAAAAATTTCTGAAACAATTTATTAAAGCACACTAGGCATTCCTAAAATATTTCAATCAACAACAATGCTAGTTTCTGTATCACACAACGAGTATATCACGACTTCAATTTCTTATTTCCTTTTACCCTGCTTACCAGCGAATGCTATGTAAGTCTCAATTTGATTGATTTGTCAGGCTTGGATGTGTGGAATCACTGCCTAACATCTCAGATCTTTCTTACAAAAATCTCACCAAATAACTTTTCTAAAAGAAAAGGGAAAATAGAATCATACCTGAGATTGTGCATTAATATTGGCTCCTTCCTTAACCAGAACTTTGACAACTTCAGCTTGTCCTGCTAAGGATGCAATGTGCAGGGCTGTATTCCCTTTCTGTTATAGGGAGAAGAAAAAAAAAAACAAAAACAGACAGACATTACCCTTCTTCAAGAATAACCTTTTGATGTCTCCCCCGTAAACAGATTGTACAAATAATCATCATTCCCTATTCATTTACTACCGATGAGCTTCAGCAAAGAACATAAACTCGCAGGCTGCAATGGAAGTATCATTTCAAATATCAGTGAGGTTTTTATATTATTATCTTATTTTGTACTTTAGTTTGTTGGGCGTTTTTTTCCTAAATTTCTCCCACATATTTGACTTTTTCTTTTTGTGAATTAACTTACAGACATGCACAAATTACCTTAGTGGCAGAATCCACAGCCGACCCTCTTTCCAATAACTCTTGTACCAGTCCCACATGGCCTTCTTTAGCTGCCAGGTGCAGAGCATTGAGTCCATTCTGTAAGCACAAGGGCCATATCAGTTACAAATACCCGTTCTGGAGATACACATTCCTACCTTACCCTGGTACAAGAAGAAGATTAGTAGCTGGAATAGTATTACATCTCTTAGCTGGCTGTCTACATAAGTCAGATATTTTGGATTTGGCTGTTTAAGCCAAGGCACTGTGTGACAAACTTCTCCGGTAACGTTTTTCTCATAGCAACAAAGACATCAAAACAAACCGTGTTTTCCAATAAGAGGTTCCTTTCCGATCGTTTTGCGTTTCCCCAGACTGCTACCTTGGGCATCTCTATGGAGCCCATCGCTTCAAAATTTGACTGCCTAATCCGCCTTCTCTTTACCGTAACCTTACCTAGCCCCACCGAGGTATTATCAACACAGAGAAATCAGGGGATTTAGCCAAATTTACACAGGACGCATCTATTCAATCAAGATTATTCCAGGCTGATGTGGCTGTCCTGAGCCCTCTCCTCCTCTCCTCTGGGTAACTGGTATCAAAGAGAAAACCAAAAGCACAAGCAGACCAAAACAGTTGTCGATTACACGTGGCTCGCAAATTATATCGATCCTTGACTTGGTACGTCTGCTGGTTTCTGATGAGCAAGTCTTCGCTGAACTTTGAGGGTTCGTAACCCCAATCAACAAGGAAAAGGAAATTAATGAAAGAAGAGCTAGGATTTTCCAAAAAAGCAACCTAAGAAAGTTAGTGTCTAAATCCACATTTTCACATCGAACAGGAATAGGGCATTTTATCTCTCATAAATTCCAGCCACGAAAACTGTATCTTCCTCTTCCTAGTATCCCTGCTCCACCCAAGGCGAAAATATAAAATGACAGTCTACTGTAACTGAACTGCCAACCTATTTTTCACAATCCTACGGTGTTTTTCATGGTACATCAGACAGGTGACAGCAACAGATACTGCCATTGCCCTCCAGCATTCTCCTATTTTCCATATGGCAAGCATCACGAGCGATAGTCAGGTATTCAAGTAACTTGCAGCAAGTTTAACACTGTGTAATTTTTACCACTTTACTCCTCTCTAAGCAGTTCCTAGTCATTTAAATCGCAAAATAAACAAGCAGCTTTCTGGTCTTTTATTTGTCCATCCACAGAGGCAGTCCAAGCCTGTAATTCCCAGTAGGATTTTAAAGCACTTAGCACATCGCGGGAGGCATTTAACGGGAGCGGGTCCAATGGCTGTGGACGCAGCAATCCAAACGCATTTCTGAAGTCACTCCATTTAATTCTGCCCAGGCAGATTTTGTGGTCAAACTCAGAAGCGCAACTATGAGAAAGGCAAAGGAACTGAAGGAAGGCTACGTTCACAAGCTGCCAAAATAACGCCAGCCTCACGCAGCCTGGTAGTTCGGAAATGTTATTGAGAAATGGGGTTTCGAACCCCGTTCTGCGGGTAAAGCAGCAGCACCTACAGGAACACTCTTACGACTGAGCTGCAGAGCCCGGGGAGGGGAGCAGTGCCATGCCTCGGATCGAGGATAAATTCCTAGCCAAAATTACATGGTGAGCCTGACCGTAATCATCAAGATGAGGAACGCTGTACATGTCGGTGAATTATTTTTTTTTTTGCAGGCTGAAAACATTTCACAAAGTTCTAATCTTCCTCATTTTTTTAAATCGTAGCTGAGTATTAAATAACCATAATTACTACCTACAGTGGTTGAAAACTTTGAAATAGCGTTTTGTGGGGAAACATACAGTGTTCTTCTCATTGTTGGAGAACAAAGACCCGTTCTCATATCTAATCTCCCCGATTCAGTCACCAACACTTTCCAGGAGAGCATGAATGGCAACGTGGACTCCTTACCGTTGCACACGGGCGATGTGTTGCTGACGCCTCATTACCCTTTTTCACTCTTTGCGAGCAGACCGAAGCCCACAAAAAGCACGCAGACTGCAACGTTGCATGGCCCACACGTGCCTCTGAATGCCAAAAGTTGAGGGCAAGCTTCTTTTTTTAGTTCACCACGTGCCAAAGTATGGAGAAAGCAAGGCTTGTCCCGGTGCTTCATCAGTAGCAATCTCTTAAAATACCTGTATTCATACCTCTAAGGCACGTATCTAACGATACCACATTAAACAGCCAAAAGCTAATACTGTTGCAAAGATTCTGTGAGGTTCTTTGCACCGTGTGACTGTTTTAATTCATGAAAACACAAGCAAAATGAACACGTGAGGTCCAGTAAAAAGGTTACGGAAGGAAACTATAGCCTGAACACAGTTCCCGCCGTACATGTGCGAATTCCCTAATTCCTGAAATAAAGTAAGCCGGGGCAAGCAGTAGCAGAAGCAAGCACTGCACTTTAAAAGTTGAGGGCCAGCGCGACTGAAGCCTTAAAGCAAGCTTTGTTCCTCCAGAATCAGAACCAATGCTGTAATTATTTCCCAACCCACATGGCTGATCCCTGTTACTTACGATGACGGAAATTCAGATTTAATCAATGCGACTCCTACGTTCCTGTCAACTGGATTCTTGTATTTTAGAACAATAAAGGTTTCTGACACTTCCCTTTTTCTCTCCCATGCCTACCAAAGAGTTGTGGGTGGCAGGGGGGAGATGAAATTAGTTGTCTGCTAAGCAAAACTGTACAGCACTGGGACTCCTCCTCCCCACAAAGCATACGTACACCATAACCACCTTTCTTTGAGAGGCTCATTTGTAATTCTAACTCTCATAAAAGAACATAATACTCAGCCTTCCAAGCCTGGTTCTTCAAGTGCTTCCCTGCAGAGCCCGATTCCCTCAGTTCTCTTTCTCCTCTACTGCTGAGCTAGAGGCGTCAACATCTGGTATCCCATAGAGCGCTACAGATGCACGCACGTACCGCTACTGCTCACAGCGCTTATTATAGTGTCACCCTACGTATTTTCACCATACCAGAAAAGCCCATAGATTTCTTGTACATCATCGAAATCACCAACCGAAAGCCAGTTAGTTTTCTCCCCCTAAGACGGACACTAAGCCTCGCTGCTATTATCTGACAATCACCCAAGGAAGTCCATGCTGCTTCTGCCTATTTATTCGGTTGCCACATGGAGTGATCCTCACAGAATGGAAGTTCTTCAGCCGCTGCCCGGTTCAGCGTCAATCCTGCTGTGCCATCTACTCCTTCTGGGACATCACCCAGGTCACTGTTACATCCAACAGCAATAATGGCTTATACCCTTTCTTGCCTAACCCTGTCATGCCCAAGCAAACTGACCCCACGGAAAGGCAACTTCTTGGCAGAGCATCAGATCAACCTCTAGCTCTAAGAACATTTCAAATCAGCAAAGCCAGTGCTGCTACCAGAAGTGCTTCTGCTTCTCCTGTCCTCTCCTCTGCTCATTTCTATCCCCGGCCACCTTTCTGCAGATCAGGTCCCTCCATCGTTCGGTGTGAGGCTGCATGCACGCTTCTGCCAGCGCCGGAGACACCGCGGCATGGAAGCATGACCACCAAGCCAAGGCCAGGCTAGGATTGCTTCTTCCATTAGAGGTATTGACTTACTAAAAAGACAAAATACAGCCCCAGCATCTGTCTAGTGTCACTACAGCTTCACTGACCAACTGCACGCCAAAGCTGCAACACGGGCACAGCGCGAGCTTCTACACCCTCCCCTCCAAGCTCAGCCGTGACAGCTATAGACGATAACCTGGCGTTCCTAGAAAGCTTTACTCACCTTCTGCTGGTGAGACTTAGCGAGAAGCGGAAGGAACATAAAAATGTATAGATGGGGGGGAGAAAGTGTTTGAAGAAAGCGGGGGAAAATTCTTTATGCGAATGAATGTTTTTGTTGTGTTACCGCAGTGTATAATGGTCTTGGCACTAAAGACAACAACCTTTGTTAAATATAATGATTCCTACTTCCCTGAAGTTTACTTCTGTTTGAAGGTATTCATTAAGCACTTAATATCTTTACGAACATTAGGAGGCAAGAACATGTGTTAACAAAGTTAGCACTCTCCTTTGTGCGAAGAGTCTGACCCCGTGTATCTCCCATCGCCTCTGACGGAAGCTGGGATGCATCGCTTGCCCGGAAGATTTGCCAACATTTGAGTTTCTAATTACTCTTGCCTTTGCCACACAAGGTTAGGATGGCATTTAAGCAACTTACAGAAAAAACATCATGAAAGCCAACAAAACCAAAACAATGCAAAAAACTATTTTTTTTTTAACATTTCAACATTCTCTTGAAAGCATGAAATACAATGCACTTTTACCAAATTCCTTCCACTGATGCTGTCTTCACGGGCCAATAGCAAAATATAAGTTACAAACACAATGAAAACTAAAAAGCCATGGTGCCTAACTTCTCACGGTCGTGCTGACTCCTTGACATGTTTGGCCAGAGTTAAGGAGGCATCTGGACTCACCAGTAGAGGCTGAGACTAAAAAGCAATATCATCGTCTTTTGTTAAATATTTTTTTCCATCTCTTTAATGGATGTCAGTCTAAGGTTGCTGCAAATTCTCTCCTCTGAATAAATCTCTTGGGGAAAGTAAAAAGTGCACGCAGTCAACCTCTTTTCAAGGAGGATTTGGGGAAGGGCACGTTAGAGAGCTGGGCATGGCCTTCTCGAGTCCGAAGGTTTGTTGAAGTTTTTCCCAAAAATATCACAAAGAAATAAAGTGGACGGTTGAAAAAAGAAAGAATCATTTCAGATTATGAAAATTCTCCCTTTATGTTGCTTTATAGCCTATGAATTAATGCAAATGAATTAACCTACCAAGTGACATCAGCATGTGATGCTGTCGACCTCATTATGACTACAGTGCTACTTCAGTCTATAGTTAGCACTACTGGGAGCGTTAGCTGATTTCCATTTGGACTAAACAAGGGAGTAATTAATAGCTGGTGCTCTGCCTCACTCTAACTGAAGCAATAAAGACACCAAATTATAAAGAAGCCATCAAAATGAGAGCAAAAGCCAAACAGATCTAAGTTTGAGAGAGCCTTGGAGCTGGAGGCCCCCCAAAACTATCTAATATTTG